AGAAAGAGGGCAAGGTAAGTATAAGTTATTTATTCACTTATTTATATTTTTTTTAAAAAAAAATAACTAAAAAAAAACTCACCATTTCGTTATATGTTCCTCCAAGTTCGTAAAACCTATTTCAAAGCCATTTTGATCTTATGGCGTCTCCCCAAACCAGCTAAAGATGAAAAGAAGAAAGAGGGCAAGGTAAATATATGTTATTTATTTATTTATTTATTTAAAAAAAAAAATAATTAAAAAAAAACTCACCATTTTGTAATATGTCCCCCAAGCTCGTGAAGTCCATTTCGAAGTTCATTTTAACCTCACGGTATCCCTACGAACCAGCTAAAGGTAAATATAAGAAAGGGCAAGGTAAGTATGAGTTATTTATTTATTTATTTATTTATTTTTTTTTAAAAAAAAAATAACTAAAAAACTTACCAATTCGCCGTACATCCCCTAAGCTGTGATACCTATTTTGAAGTCCATTTTGATTCCACGGTGTCCCCATGAACCAGCTAAAGGTGAAAAGGAGAAAGAGGGCAAAGTAAGTATAAGTTATTTATTCACTTATTTATATTTTTTTTAAAAAAAAAATAACGAAAAAAAAAACTCACCATTTCGCCATACGTCCCTCCAAGTTCGTAAAACCTATTTCAAAGCCATTTCGATCTCATAGTGTCCTCACGAACCAGCAAAAGGTAAGAAGAAGAAAGATAGTATATTAAAGATATTATTAAGGCAAAGGATATATAAGTTTAGTTTTATTTTTTTTTTTAAAAAAAAAAAAAGCAAAGATTAAAAAAAAAAAATTTAATAAAAAATGATTATCAGATCTATTGTGTCACAAATTTTAAATAAGTAATTGATTTCAAATATTTTTTCTGCTGCTAAAATAATTTGGGCTGTCAAAAATATTTTGGGCTTTGGATTTTTTTGACCTTTGAAGTCCAAATAATTTGGACCTATTCTATCATCCAAATCCCAAATTATTTTGGAATTTGAGTGGCATGTATAGGCCATATAAAGATAGCAGCCCTGTTACTGTGTTCTGACAATACGCACGTATTATTTACTCAAATTACAAAATATTAATAGAAACTAACATAGCTTCTTTTTGCGTCAGTTTGATATTGCCTATGAAGGTGTATGCAATCTTCGTGATATTGAGCTGACAAAATCAGAAGGAGCACTCTCTGAAAAAGAAATTAAGGAAAATATGGAAAATTTAAAGACAAAACTTAAAGTAAATAAAACAGTGATAATATAAACAATTCTTATCTAAAAATCATATTTTTTAGCCCAAATGTACTAACTCCGCTAATCTTAATTATAGAAAAGCTCATCTCAACTTGCTCAAGAATTATATCTTGAATTGGATAGTATGTCCATTTCTAACTTAACATGGCAGGACCCAATTGCCAGTCAAGTAATAAGCGATAATTCTGAGTTAATACAAGAAAAAATATCAGAACAGTTACGTCAAAACTTTATGAGAACTGTGTAACACATGTGAATAGAAGTTCCAGACAAAATTCGAAGAAAATGTGTAGAGTTTACAGAAAATTTTAATTCTGAGGATGTTAATATTTTACCGCAAAAACTCACATATAATGGTACTTGGAAAGAATCAAATGAGGATCTTGTAGAAACTACGATAGAAATCCTCAATGTAATGTAAGTATTTTTATTTTCATTCAAAGATCCATTTTAAATCATTATTATCTATGTAAACCTTCTACAATTTACAAAGACAACGGGATAAAATAATACTAAAATTAATAATAAAACTAAGTATAACTATAAGAATTACTAATCTCACAATAAAATAATCACAATACAAGGGTTTATGCATAGAAGGAATTAAGTATGATCAATTATGAAAGAGGCGTATTTACTATTAACAGTGGTATGAAGACTTGTTAATAGAGCAAATAGTTTATCAATTATCAAAAGAATACAATAAACAAGGAACTCAAAGGATTTAGTAATATTAACTTTATTACTTAATAAATCCTAACTAATTCGAAAAACTAAAAAACTGACTAGAAAACTGAAGACTGAATTAAGGAAATTCTCAGCCTTTATATACATTATTATTTTAACTGCTAAGTTGACTTGTAATCTGACTGTAAACCTCACTAGTAACTATGCTAATATCCTGACTAGTACCTTAACTATTAATTTAACTTGTACTTTGACTGAGATATTAACTCGTACTCTGGCTTGTACTCTAACTTTGTGTTC